TCACTGCGTCCATCATTCACCTTCTCGGCACACTGTCCGACGATGCTACTCTCAAGCTCACCATTGGCTCATTAGAGCCCCTCGTCCCCTACCTCATGTCCTTCCGCAAGCTTCTCAAGGCTCTCATCAAGACTGTTGTCAACTACTGGGCCAGACCCGCCAGTTCAGAAACGACAAAGATCACTTCCTTCCTGGTCCTGCGGAAACTCGTCGTTATCGGCGACAAGGGCCTTCGCGAGACTGTTCTCAAGACGGTGTACCAGGGACTCGTCTCCGGTTGCAGGACAACAAACGCCAACACCATCCAGGGCATCAACCTGTTGAAGAACTCCGCTGCTGAGCTTTGGGGCATTGACCAAAACGTCGGTTACACCACGGCCTTCACCTTTATCCGCCAACTCGCCATTCACCTCAGAAATAGCATCGTCAAGAAGGAGAAGGACGCCCATAAGATCATCTACAACTGGCAATACACCCACTCGCTCGACTTCTGGTCATGCGTGCTTGCCGAGCACTGCAGCCCCCTGAAGGAGGCGGAGACTGGCAAGGAGGGACAGCTCAAGCTCCTGATCTATCCCCTTGTGCAAGTGACTCTGGGAGCGATGCGCCTTATCCCCTCGCCGACTTTCTTCCCCCTGCGGTTCCACCTCATCCGCTCCATCCTTCGTCTTTCCCGCGCTACCAACACCTACATTCCTCTCGCTTCAGCTCTGATTGAGGTTCTCGAGTCTGCCGACATGAGAAGGTTCCCCAAGGCCTCGTCCATCAAGCCCCTCGACTTCCACGTTGCCTACAAGGCACCCAAGTCATACCTCCGCACGCGTGTTTACCAGGACGGTGTCGCCGAGCAGGTCGTTGAGCTCTTAAGCGAATACTTCACCATCTGGTGCAAGAACATTGCCTTCCCCGAGTTCACCCTTCCCGTTCTCATTCAGCTGAAGCGCTGGCTCAAGGGCGCGCGCAAGATTAAGACGGGCAACAAGAACAACAAGGTCATTTCGCAGATTGTGCTGCTGGTGCAGAAGCTCGAGACCAACGCCAAGTTCATCGAGGAGAAGCGTGCGAAGGTGGAGTTCGCGCCTAAGGATCGCGCGCAGGTGGATGCCTTCCTTCGCGACTTTGAGTGGGAGAAGACGCCCCTCGGCGCATACGTTGTCGTGCAGCGCAAGATTAGAGAGCAGAAGGCCAAAGCGCTCGAGGACGCGAGGAAAGAGGACGAGAAGAAGCGTAAGCAGGAGGAGAAGGATGCGGTTGCGGAGAACGCCGCAGACGACGACTCTGAGGAGGAATACGCCGACGAGTTGATGGACGACGAGGCCGAGGATGACGATGAGATCGAGGAGGATGAGGAGGAGGAGGATGAAGATGACGATATGGAAGACGACGAGTAGGTTGCGGATTTTGAGGAAGATCTGAGACGCAAAAGTGTTTTTAGGGCGTAATCCAAATACGCTGGTGTTAGGTTATATCATGGAGGCATTTGCGAATAATCCGGAGGCTTGTAGCCCTCAAATCTAGCGTCCTCGTTGCACCACTCCGCGTCTCCTATATTGAATACTGCTATCTACTGTTACAATCATGTCTCATATACTTGGCCATCGCTGGTCTAGACTGAAAGAGAATCGGCCTGCTTGCAAGCCGTTTGCAGATGAAATATACCCTGGAAACATTTACACATGGATGATGCAAGGATGGAGACTGGAAATTAGCACGGACCGGACACTGAGACCGCCTTTTGCTGGGGAAGGATTTGGGGGCTTACATCAACACCTAAACTCCGGTAAGATGTGCAACTGTAGGGAATCTCTGTGCGGCGGCACAGGCAGCTGAGAGTCCCTGTTGATCTTTCCGATAGACGTCTGCCTAACTTCAGATCAACCCGACACCTAATGCACATTCTCCTCACCTCAGGTGACTCGACTACATCTCTTCTCACGTGTCCTTGGTTTGACATCTTGCCCGCCTCTTACCTCGACTTGTTATTCCTCAAGATTGTTGTTTGATACCGAAGCACACCTCTCTTATCCGGTCACCTTCCCATCAATAAGTCTCATTGGATGCGGTGAGCCCATCGCAATCATGGCTCCCCTGGCCGCAGACCCCCGCCAGCTCGTGGTGGTCCTTAACCCGGCTCGCCGCAAAGCGTTCTATACTCTCCTCTTCGATATCACGGGCTACATGCGCTCGCAGCTCGAGCTCAAAGACGGCGGCGACCAAGCAGCAGATTCCAGCGGCAATCCGGCATCGCCGTCACTCCAGGACAGGAACGCCCCGCTCTTCGTCCCGGACCGCGGCGACGGACGCAGCAGCAAGCCCAGCCACCCGGACCGCGGCGGTTCCGGCGTGCACAGCGCTCAGCTGCGGGCCCTGAGGAGGGCGGCGCTCAAGCACTTTGACGGGTGGCGGAAGGAGGTCCTCGAGAAGGTCAAGGAAATTGTCTCGGTTAAGGACGATGACAAGATCCTCGAGGCCAGGAAGAAGCGCTTAGATGAGCAGGAGAAGCTGAACGCAGAGTCTCCCGGCGTCGGAGAGGATTTGATCAACTTTGGAGATGCTTCCCAGACTGCTTCTTCTCCTCCGGCGGCGAACGAGGTCGACGAGGAGGTGGCCGCACTGCAGGAGCATTACCATCCCATTCCGAGCCGGTTCACCACGATCCCGGCGAATGATAGGAAAGAGGTGCTAAGCTGCCTCTTGGTTCTCATCTTGTCTACCGGTTGCTACTCAGCACACTCCAGAGTCTTGGCCCTTTATCTCACGTCCGCCTTCGGTCTGCCTCTCTCGGCCCTCATCGCCGAGGAGACGGAAATCGCAAAGTCTCTGGTTGAATCTGCGACCTCTTCCGAAGGTCAAAAGGCCACCATGTCCGCCGAGGCCGAGGCCGCGAAGCGACGACAAGAGAACCAAAAGAGCCGTTTCTGGAAAGTCGGCCTGGCCTCCGTGGCAGGCGCCGCCGTCATTGGCATCACGGGTGGTCTCGCGGCCCCTGTGGTCGCCGGCGCCATCGGCGGCATCATGGGCAGCGTCGGCCTGGGAGGCGTCGCGAGCTTCCTCGGCATCTTTTGGATGAACGGCGCGCTGGTCGGGACCCTTTTTGGCGCGTTCGGAGCCAAGATGACGGGCGAGATGATGGATACCTACGCCAAGGAGGTGGAAGACTTCCGCTTCCTCCCGCTCAAGGACGAATGGGGCCAGGACTATAAACGCGCTGACCCGGACGGCAAGCAGGGTGCCCGCCTCCGCGTGACGATTGGCATCAACGGCTGGCTGAATGACGAGGGCGACGTGACGAAGCCGTGGCGCAGCTTGGGTGATGAGTCCGAAGTCTTTGCCTTGCGCTACGAGATGAAGTCACTTCTCGCCCTCGGTGCTGAGCTCGAGGGTCTCGTCTCGTCGTACGCGTGGAACTATGTAAAGATTGAGATCCTCAAGCGCACTGTCCTTGCTTCGCTCTGGGCTGCTCTGTGGCCCGCCTACCTCATCAGCGCCGCTTCAAAGATTGACAACCCCTTCAACCTGGCCCGCAACCGTTCAGACAAGGCCGGTCGCGTTCTCGCTGATGCTCTCATCGCCAAGGTCCAGGGAGAAAGGCCCGTGACTCTGGTCGGATATTCGCTCGGCGCTCGCGTCATCTACTCTTGTCTGCGATCACTCGCTGAACGTCAGGCTTTCGGGCTAGTCGACACCGTGGTGCTCATCGGTGCCCCCGTGCCGTCCAACCGGGAGCACTGGCAGGTCCTGCGGTCCGTGGTGTCTGGCCGCATCGTCAACGTGTACTCGGAAACGGACTACATTCTCGGGTTCTTATACCGTACCACCTCTCTCCAGCTAGGCATCGCAGGTCTCCAGGAAGTCAAGGACATTGAAAGAGTCGAAAACCTGAACCTCAGCGCAGAAGTCAGCGGGCACCTCCGCTACCCGAGCTTAATCGCCAAGATCCTGACACGATGCGGATTCCCGAATGTCAAGGGCGGCGAGGGCGTTATAGAAAAGGACGAAGACCTAGATATCAAGATTACGGATGAGGAGGCGGGTTCGCAGATGGGCGAGCTTATCCAGCTCGAGGCGCAACCTGATCCGGAGTCGGAGCCGCAGCCGATCAGATCCAAGCAGACCGCCAGGTTCCCGAACGAGCTGCGTCACCCGTTACATCCTGACCCGCCTGAACAGAAGAAGAAAAAGAACCCGAACCGGAACAAGGTCTCTAGATCTGGTGGTGCAACCGTTTCGGGGTCTTTCGATCCTTTGGGAGGCGGTGGCGGCGACCCCTTGAACCTGAGAAGTCTTGGCCAGGCAAAGCAGGGACCGCGGTCGCCTCACCACGAGGAGCTCCGTAGTCTAGGCTCTCCACCTCCTGAGAAACAAGAGGCGAGAAGCGCTCAGCCTGCTGATCCCCTGAATCTCAGTGCTCTGGGGGCAAAGAACGAAAACCCAGTTCCTACTGCAGTCGAAAATGATCCAAGTCAGCCGGGCAAAGAACCAGAGCTTCCTCCCAGGCCTTCTGCCATCCACTCGTTCCAGAGCGATGGTGCTATAGACTTGCACCGCCGTCCGGAACTGCCAATCAGGCCCAAGACCTTCCCTGTTCCTGTTCAAGAGGAAGAGGATGATGATAGCGATGACGAGAGCTTCAAGGGAATTCAGCTGGTTGACGATGAAGACATGACGAGTTACTCGGAGCCCTTGAGGGCGGACGACTAGACCAGATGCAGAACAGAGATAATGCGCCAAGTTGGCCGTTCAATAGGAATACAGTACTTCTTAAGCAAGGACATTCTAATTCCACGTCAAACCCCTCCAATTTCAATCAATACGGCTAAATTTATACTTATTTGGGGTATTCATGTCTCATGGGTATCTATAAAGTTTTATAAGAACGATTATCCTATGAGCTGTAAAACAACTTGGCTATGGAAATTGGTTAATCCTCTTAGATAACTGAGCGTTGCCTATTTAAGTTCGCTCCCCACGCAGAGACTTGTACCTCCTCTTTAGCAGACTCAAGCTCGTTGAGATATCCGACAACTGTAGTTGCGACAAATGTCGCAATAAGCCCGCTTCGAGTCCTTGTATGTCTTGGAGTATTGGCGACTCCGAGCCAACCGGACGGAATGTGCGGAATTCACATACCGACAGTCGATCCCTCTGTTGGATGGCTCAAGATGACCTGCAGTATCACCATCCCATCGACCCCGCCGCCAGAATCTTTCGCCAAGGGAGATTCCGAGGAGACATCGTTCGTTTCTGACCGCTATCACCTGTGTATTCAGTAATGAAGCATCCACAAAAGACGCCCGACAGTCTCCGGCCAGCTCTGGAGAACACACCGCCTTCGACGTGAAAAGGAAGATCAACAAAACCGCGGAAGTCTTCAACATATGATTCCTCCCTTCCATACTCCAATCTCACCCTGCCTCTAACCTCCAGGAGAATCCTGACAGGTCACTTTGCCTTGGCTGGGAGAAGAGACTAGAGATTAGAAATCGGTCTTTCGCTATTTTTATAGTGCCCTCCCTCTTGGACTGGGAGCTCAGCGCCAAAGTGACAACAATGTGGTCAAGTTCATTCGTCATATCCAGTATAAGTTTGATGTTTCATCTATTATAATGAACAGCGTAATCACGTCAAACTCTCATGATCCACGTTATTTTCCAACCTTTGATCATCTATAGTGCGGGTTTTGTTTGCTGTAAGAACATCACTCAGAAAACGTTACTGAGACTAGAGGTGCTCACTAACTGACTTTCCCATTCGTTCTTAGCTCCTATTCCCCTGCTCCTATCGAGGGTGTCTTACCTTCACCTCGAACACCTATTGAGTATGACCTTACTGTTCTCTTGAACGTGCCGGTACCACATAGAACCGTTATCAGAGCAAGGCATGGGGTTCTGAGCTCCGGCCCCTTCCAACATGAGTCAGCTAGACATCGTCAGCTTCGAGACTTACAACGTATATACTTCTTCAGGTTCATATGATTATTGCTAGATATACAGTCTCAATACCAACCGTATGTTGTGGGTCGGAACACGTTGTTTCTTACCCACTTTCAAGTCATCCTTCACAGCAAACAAGCTGGAAAGAAGCCACTCGGGCTGCTTCAACCGAAAACCTGTCACCAATCGATGCTTTGATGGCAGACTGCATACTTCCCTCAAGAGATAGACGTAAAAATTCTGTTCTTACTTCGTGGGAAGTGAATCAAACAAGACGAGAGAAAGACTGGCAAGCCTTCCTTCATCGCTTGCTCATTTGTATTCGTGGATATGTACGTTTCAACGGCAGTAGCCATATCATAGGATGCATTGTACTATAGTCACACAAAAGCATCTCAATCTACTCGTTTACTCAGGTCATGAACGATATGCACAGCAACGTTATTGCTCCATCGTCTTGGCGTGTATGTGGTCCAAGCTAGTAGAACCATGACTTAGATAGGAAATTCGATACTAAGCCAACTGCTTGCAGCATGTCAAGGGGGACGCCGTCACCATGAGTACCTACACATCAAGAGAGAACTTGTCTTATATGACACCGCCATTGCTACGTGAGACTGGGCTAAGCTGACAAGTCAGCCAGCCACAGCCATGGTTACCTTACGCAGACACATATTCAGAGCTGAGCCATGAACAGGGCGCCATATTCACAAGCCAGTGGAAGCCATGGGTGCAAGCCCTGTCGCGTCTGATGCGAAACTTACATGGACAAGCTTACGGTTGGCGGCCGACAAAGTTAAGATGGAGAGAGGCCGGCACTCTGGCGATCACGAGGTTTCCTCGCCACTCCATTGGGTTCTACTTTCCAGGTGTCGTCTGCTGTCTCCCCCGCTCAGAGTTCCGATGAAGCTGCCTTTCGCAACAAAAGATGTGTGGGGCAGAATTGGAAGCATTCCACAACCAAGAGATCTGCCAAATGCCACGGCAGTATCGCTGTGGGTGTGCGGAGTAGTGGTTGTAGGTTTGCAGGTTTTTGCTTGAACTAAACTTTGGGCCACTTGAGACTAATAGGACAGAAGCAGCGTGTGAAGACGCTCCCGATGCTGAGATTTGGGATTCCTCTGGGTCTTTAATCAGTCTAATATTGTGGAAAGTCAAGTCTCGCTGACGAGGCTTAGACGGACCCGAAAAGAATTATTTGCGACGAAAAGCTCCGCCAAAAAGCGGCAACCCGTTCGGAGATGTAGCGTCATGCATCCTTCGGGAGTGACATGCAGCCGAACGGGATCCGCTCGACGATACGGTTTTTGACGGAGATAATATGATGCAGATTCTCAGCAACTCCAGAATGCAGCTGTGCTTTTTTCTCGCCTTCTGCACCGAGCAGATTGAGGTCCAAGCCTTGAGGGTCGTTGAAGAAGAAGAATGGAACCAGTGAGATTGCGGATGGCAGTGAATGGGGCGAAGGAGAAGATTTTGGCGTGAATGCATGAAGCGGAGGCAGGGAAGGGCGGGATGACCGCAGGGATGGGAGGTTTGGAAAGGTGATTGGCTGCGATGAAAAGGACCCCTGTTCCTGAGACGGTAGGGGACGGGCTTGTAAGGCGGCTGTTGGGTCTGTGTAGTCGAGGCGGTCAGTCGAGGTCAGATGAGCCCATGGCCGGAGGGGTTTGCGGCCATAGGGCAAGCGGTATTACAAGGAGGCTGATGGCAAGTTCAAAGTGCGCAGGCCGTCGCGGAGTGGAAGAGTGTGTGTTTGCGAAGGACAGCCGAAGAAGCGCGCCGTTGGCTCGGGTTCCTCCTGTGTCAGGTCCGGCAGGTCTTGGTCGAGGCCTGAATCTGACCTTTGGTGGCCTCAATCCCTGCAGGATGTGGTGATGCAGCGAGGGGTTTTTGTGAGAGGGGAGGTGATGAAGCCTGTGCACCTCAGGAAGCAGATGAGCAACCTTTTGTCAGTCGGTCTAGTATAGAGCATGGGAGGCACCCGTGATGTCTGGGTTCGCCATTTCGGTCCGTCATGTTGCGGTTTCCCGGGTTGAGCGACGAGTTGGCTCGATGCGGATGTCATAGGCCAAGGATTGTCGCTCCAGCGTGTGATGGAAAATGACTCGGGTTGCCCCTGTCCGACAGCTGCTGGTTTTTGACAGGCCAAGAGAGGCAGAGGGGCCGATTTGCCTTGTTTTAACTCCTCAAATCCAAAGTCCGCCATCTCTACCGGTAGTGTAGGTAGAAAAAGCGACAGTATGAAACTTGAGAGACGCAAGACCGGTTGCGAGAAAACGAGGCGCCCACCATCCCAACGGCGGAATCGAGGTTGACGATCGCGTGTTCCAGGCCCTGCACGACCAACGGACTCTTGAAAAGTGTAGAACGAATCAGTGACCATTGTTGTGTTGTAGTAGTCGCGTACGGAGTAGTGTACTAGGTATTGCAATGTACTAGTAGTCTGCTCCGGCATGTTTAGTCCGAAGAAGGAAATATACCTTTGCTTACCCGTGGTTGGATGGAGGTACCTCGAGCGAAGCGGCGGGAGGAAAGATACCTTAGGGGTCCAAGTACCGGGCACAGCAGTGACAGACCTGAGAGAATGGAAGTGCGGGGCTATTTTATCTCAAAGGCTCAAAGTCCGCGATTTGGCCCGACATATTGACATTTAGGATTTGGGACGGGGGCCTTGCAAGACTGCCCGTGAACCTCCAGAATCCAACGTCTGAGGGTATCCCTAATGTGATCTCAAGAAAGTCAATCATAGGAAGCTGCTAGCTATACAAGGTACGTGCGTGCAGACAGTTCCTTCGCTGAGCTACCATTTCGGGCCATGTACGTGAGAATAAGGCAAGGTGCATTGCGGTAGGCACGGTGAGAAGGCGCTACGGACCATGAGGCGTAGCATATGAAGCAGGCACCAAAATCTTAGCACGGTCCAGTAATATCAAGAGATGGGAACTCTCGACTCGAGATACCTACCTAAAGGTACCATGGAAGGTGCTGGTCATTTATCAGATAGGTTGTTTTTCCTGAAGGATGGGAAGGGGATGATGATGGGTGGTGCCTCCTGTTTTATTTTTGTCAGCCAAGGCATTCCCCGTTCACCACAGTCCAGTCCGCCAGTCCCAATCCCAGCTCTCCAGTGCCAGTCTTAGTTTTTGTTTCCGTTTTTTTTCCTTTCCCTCCTTTGACACTCCAACCGCAGTCGCCGCAGTCGCCGCTGCACACACCTCACACACCTTACCTAGCAGACGTACCCGGGGAAAGGGCACCATCTCAGGCACTATTTATTATTTACCTCAAGGCTGGGGTACTATGTCAGTACTTCGTCTTCGTACCTTCTTTTGAAGGAGCCCGCGCCTGAATCCCCGTCCCACGTCCACGTCCCACTCGAAAGGCCCCACGATCAAATATCCACACCCTGCTCCTGGATTCCCCATTACACCTCACCAACGCTCACGCAACACACCCTCGCCTCGCCTGCCTCGCCCTCCCACCCTACCCGCCTCTCGCCGCTGAGTTCCGACTTCTTCCCGTTCACACTCTCCCATATTCACGATTTCTTCCCTTTTTCGACTGCCCTTCGTTGGAAAAGAAATTTGGCCTCAACATCCTTCACGCCAATACGACAACAACAACAATAACCTACGTTCAAGCGCAGACCGCTTCACCGTTCGAAGTCCCTTCTTCAGACGACACAGCGACAGATCGGCCCCTAGCTCCTTCCCGAACCCCCCTCTTTCTCTGGCCGTGACGTACGATTCAAGAAACCGGTCGACGGCAAATTTTACGACTTCCCCTCCATCGGCCTTGACGAAGACGCCTCGACTTCTTCCACGGCCGCATATCAGTTCCCACCTTTCACAGGCAATTTGTGAGCGGACCAACAGCACAGCACAGAGGCGGCGTTACCAACGCTTGTCTTATCTGTTGCGAGCTGCTACGAATATACCACCCGATTGCACACCTATTGCGCCAAACTCAGCTGCAAATTCCACTCTTCTCAGCCGATCCCGAAAATGAAGGGCCGTCCCATTGACCAGCTCGTTTATGAGCACATGTTTCCCAAGCCTCGCGCGAGCGACCCTCAAAATTTCCATGCTCTCTTGCAGCGCAGCCTGATTTTGGAGGTTCGTCAAGAGGTTCACTCCTTCTACGGCCATCTCGATACTCAAGAAGCCAAGTACCCGGGCTTGGATTACTGCAACCCCATCCACCGTATCCGTCTGAGTCGTTGGACCTGGCACCGCCGCTTGTTCCGAGCGTTTGATAACCTCCATCTGACCCCTAACGAGATTGCGGGTTTGACCAAATGGGAGGGCACAAGATGGGCTAAGGAGCGCTACGAGAAGGAGCAAGGCATCTCCATTAGAGATACTGCCGGCGATGGATTCCCTGACTGGATCGAGCCGGAGGATCGTCCAGCGGCCCCGGTTCGAAACCCTCGATCAAGGTCTGTGGATACAGATGATGCTACCGACCCTGGAGACGAGGACATGGACGGTGAAGAGAGTGACGAGGAACTCGAGAGTGTCGGTGTTGCTCTGAACCAGCGATTGAGAGAGAGGGCAGCACGACGAGAGGCAGGAGACATGTCTACGGTCTTGGACGAGGAATGGGAGCAGTGGCTAAAGAACGTTATTGAGAGTGGCGAGCTGCCATATCTCTCCAACGACGACATCTCACCATCGAGAGCTGATCCGGCAGCGGTTGCAGTTGTGCCGCAAGCACTCTTCCCCCCTCGCATGCTGAGCGCTGCTCGCGCTGGTCAGTGGCAAGACATACCCGACTTCCTCCACGACATTATTCGCCGTACGCTTGAGAACCAGAACTCGAGCAGTGGCGAGGAAACTGCAGCACCTCCTCGCTTGCCCTCTATTTCAAGTCGCAATGCGGCACGGGAACGCAGAGGCACTGACGAACATCACATTGGCGGAATCTCAAACTGGAGACGTACATATTCAGATTTGCGGCTCCCTGTCGGCGACAGCGCAGCTAGCCCGAATTTGCAGAGGACGGCACAGGCACCCGGGGCCTAGGAAGTTCCGGCGCCTGACGTTCCCTCTCGTGGGCCTGAAACATTCGTTGACCAAATGAATCTGATAAGCGGAGAAGAGCTATCTCGAACTGTGCATGAGATTATGTTGCCCACCAGACGTCAACCAACAATAGATCGACCGATCATAAACCCGCTGACCGGCGAGTTTGATGTCGACGCTTACCATGCTTTATGGGCCAGCCCTTACCCTTCAACTTTCGTATACTCCGACCCAAGCACTTGGAGCCAGATATGGAACTGGGCCCCGTTGTCGACCAGAGAAGACCCGAGACTTCCGTGATCACGGCAGCGGGTATACCGCTGGATTTCTTCAAACGCCTCGACCCGCATCTCCAGTCGAAGAGGCGATTTCTTTAGTCTGATTCAAAATTTTCAATACTAGAGTTCCTTGAGTTTTTGGGCAAAGGGAGGATCGCCCCAACAAGGCGACTACCCACTACACATCACTCGGTTATTCCCCCATACGGCGTTGGAAGGATTGCTCTTATGCTTCTGTGGGATTGCAAGGGATTGGATGAGCGAGCACAAGAAATTATGAGGAAACGAGAACTCTCTGCATTTTGAGGCCCGCTTCCCGGGAGGCCGTTTGTATCTAACTAAGAGACCTTAGTTATAAAAGTGCTAATTTTGGTGACAACCCTGCTCGATTACCTACCTACGTGTACAACATGCCATGTCAGTAAAAGTCTCATGCTCGTGGAGATGATTCAGATGCGATAGAGGGATGCGGCTTTTTGGTAAAACATTTCAATTCAGTCGTTGGCTTGACATAGCAGCCTCGCGGCCTTTCCCGAACGCCACGACCCGACCTGACTAGAAGCACACTGCTGGTAATCTTCCGGAAAGCTCTATCTGATAGTCCATTATCGAGTAGAGAAAAGTACAGTCGCCACCCAACGCCAACTCCTTGAAGCTTCAAACCCGCCCCAATCCGATATTTTTCTTTTCGTTGCACTTACTTCGTGACCAACCAAGCCCTACGACACACGACGCACCCTATGCGACCGCCGCCTCAACCCCCCCGAAGGATTTTCGGTAACCTTTGGGGTTTCTTGCTGCGGCGTCACATGCCTTGGATCGCCCTTCCCGGGTCTCATCGAGCCCTTCTACGGCTCGAGGTGAGACCATTCGGGTATGGCCTTGATCTGCTGCCACATGTACTTCTCCAGCTTGTTGGCGCTCTTCGCATACGGCGTAGACTCGTTATTGTACTTGCGACAGTTATCGAAGACGAGCTTGGCATCCCTGATAAAGTCCTCCGGCGTTGCGTACTGATCTGCTTCGAGTTTGGTCTCCATCGTACTAAGATCCATGGGTTCCTTGATAACTTCGTAGTAATCGGCGACGTCGTCCTTGTTGACAGGCACGAGGAAGGGCCAGGCAGACTGGTGGTTCTGCAGGTCGTTGAGGAGGTGGAGAAGCTGGTTGTAGTTGGGACCGTGGCGGGGCTGGCGGGCGAGCTCGTCCATATCGGGCGACCAGCCTGATGCGCGGATGGCGCTGATGGTGAGCGGGTCGATTGGCTTGGCGCCAGACTTCCATTCTTTTGGCGGAGCGTGGACGATGTGCGATTTCGAATAGGCGCGGATTTTGGCCTGGACGCACTCCTTTTGCTTCAAGAGCATGCGGCCCATTTCGAGATATCGGATGCGGGGCAGCATTGAACACTGCATGATCGTACCGCCCTCATAATCCTTGATGTAACCCATCCATACGCTCTTATCCAGCGTGATCTCTTTGGTGAAACCTTGCTTTTTGAAGTATCCGATGGCGTAGTTGTCAGCATACGTGAGGAAGTGCATCACGTCGCTGGTCGCCTTGACATAGTCCTTCAAGTGGGACATGAGATGCGCGCCGTATCCCTTAACCTGCTGATCAGAACTAATGGCGCAGAAGACGATTTCGGCGAACTGGCGACCTTTGAAGGGGCGGTAGGTGATGCCGCCGACGACCTCGAGGGGCTTCTTGACGATCGCGATGGACAAGTGGGTCCGGTCGTAGACGAGTCGCGCGATGTAGTCTTTCGGCATCTTGGGGAGCTGCTTTTGGAAGATGCATTTGAGGCCGGTGAGGATGATGAGGGATTCGCGCTCGTTGTCGTTGTTGACTACCCGGAACTCGATCTCGCCGGTGCGCTCTTCGATGACGGCGGGCTGTCGCAAATCATGGTCAGCTTCGGCGGGTCTAGGTGGACGACGCGCATGGAGAGCACGTAGCGGGCATCAACTGTGCGATGGTCGCGGCGCAGTTTGAGGAGTAGAGCTCACCTTTTCGGGGAAGGGGATGGGCTTCATTGCCGGCTTCTTTTCTGGTTCGGCCGACTCATTGTGCTTGACCCG